GAGAGAGAGAGAGAGAGAGAGAGAGAGAGAGAGAGAGAGAGAGAGAGAGAGAGAGAGAGAGAGAATGCACCAGGATATAAAAGCAATCTCCCGAACTCTAATTCGAAGAATATACACGGCATGGACCCGACTAGTTTCGGCCGGCCACCACCGGCTCTCCTCAGGGGTCTTTATTGGTCGTGAGGTAATGACTAAACTTGTGTGCATCTATATATATCCTGTGTACTAACTGAAGAACTGTAAAAACCATCATCCACCGAACAGGCCAGTGACTTGCCGTAAATAGATGCAGTAACTCAGGAAACCTCACGGACTAACTTAGTAGCACAGACTCGAAACCTTGCCCTTTAAGCGACCAACACAGACCACGGGACCAGAACCCGTGTCCTACGAACCCTCGAACCTACCAGAAAAGTCCATGCGAACTGCCGCGTGAATCATATGCCTCGAACTTGCGAACCCCAAGCCTCGAACTTGCGACCAGACAATCAGACCTTGGGGCTGACGCCCACCGACCGTACCTCCTAATGCCTATCCGAACCGACGGACCGTGCAGATCAGAGGAAATGCGGGGTTTAGAAAAGAAAACCCCTCAGGCCTGCCATGGGACTGACACCCGCCGTCCACATCACAGCAAAAACTGACTCGCTGTAGCAGAGACCATGGTAAGAAAAACCGAACCTTGCATTCGAACTACAATCAGCCACCAGACCAGAGATCCCATCGAGTGAACTGCCCAAAAAACATAACACATCGTACGTGCCACCACTTCAAGGCACAAGTTACTGACGAAAAAAACGCTGCCAGCCAGTGAGAATGGGAATCCAGTGATCCCAACAACGCGCATAATTTCCAGGAAAATTAATCAATGCGCTATCAAAATAGTTATCCGGATACTCTCGCAACCACAATTCGTTCTTCAGAGTAAGGAGGAAAGATAATTCTAAACCAGGCACCGAAGTGAAAGTCCTAGCCCTACGAAGAAAAGAAGTAATCACAACGAGCTTCTGTTGTCGCCCAGAAAAAGAACAAAAATCCTGGATGCTCTGGAAAATCAAGGGTTCATTCACTTCCCCTCTCTGATTTTTGTGAGTGGCAACACAAATGACCCTACATGGGTTCACCACGATCTTTAAAATGCAACCAATAAAGTCCCACTCCTGACTCGTATTGGTTTGCTCCAACACCAGACCTTTATCGTAACAACTGCGAAACCGATCTATGATTCCTTCCGCCTGTATTTTGGAGGTGTCATTCAATGCATGTACCTTAACGAAAACCGACACGTCATCCACAATCCTGAAACCGTGAACCAGGCTCCTGCCCGACCCCAGAGATGATAGAAACAAATGCTCATCGTGAGCACACAAAAGACAAGCCAACGTTGGGCTTGTTGATTTCCCCATGGGAATGCCGACAACCTGACGCATCAACCGCCCAGCAGCCGTTATGTAGGAATAATCCAATTCAAACCTGACAAAATCAAGGATCTGTGAAAAACTTAGCTTAATCCAACCCTCTTCACCCTTCCCTCTAGACAATCTCACCATCTTCCCGTGCATTCGAACCAAGACCGCAGAAAAACCCTCAGAAGACCAAAAATCCAAGATCCAACGCAGAGAACGCAGAATAGAATGATGTTGTAGATTAGAAAACATTTCTTTGATGTCGAATGATCCTCAGATTAACAGCTCGTCCCTCCCCACCTGTCCATTGATCTTCACAATTCTCTACATGACGTCTGAAGTGCATCGCAGATTGAAATGCAATTTCTCGGGAATCTTCCACAACATGAAGTTCACAGCTCTTGCCACACGCTTACCGCCTGTTACAGACCCATCTGTGTTCGACGGGCAGATCGGCTGCCATCTTGAGGTATCTTTGTGCTTGGGTAAACAAAACGTTCGACTGACTCTCCCTTCCTTTTTCCATTTCCCAATTCTTGTGAGCTTACGTTCTTCATAAAGCTGCTTGCACATCTTAATGACGTCCTCCCCTGATTCATACACCGGAACAAAAGAAGTATTATCCAGAAATAGTTTGTTCATCCCCTCCCCATAGATAGTAGGACAACACACGAAAGTGTCGCCAAGATTGTGATCGAAGGGAGAATACACCTGCCCGTCCAATCTCTTCAACTGACACTTGACCAACTCCAGAGAAGAATCGTGACGATCCGATAACAAAGGATCGACAGACATGCCCTTGAGGACACAAGAATCAAGCAGTCCAGCAGAAAAAAGACCATGATGAAGAGGAGGAAGAGAATCCATCAAGCCAAAGGAAGCGATGATCTGTTTTTCCAGTTTGGAAATAGGATTGTCATCAGTTGGACGTAAAATATTCTTAGAGTTACGCATGCACTTAGGGATTCCGTGCAAGTACATCGAAAGTCAACCCTTCTTGCCACCTCACGGTGATTATGCATAAGATCCCGTACGCCCATGCTGGATTGATACCCAATTTGCCTATCAGATACGCAACAACCTTACGTATTTCCGCCTTGCAGTACCAGTCGTCGAAGACAACCTGAATTACCAACCTTCGACGAATATGAATACCAAACCGTTGAACAACTACTTTAGACAGAATGATGCGAAGCCTACTCCTCGTCCGTTTGTCTTGGAAACAGCGAATAGCAGAAAAAGCATACACAAGTTTATCAAAATCCCACGTCTTGAGTTCACACCGAGAGCGAGGATGACTGAGTAAATTAGACAGAACCGGTTTGAGAGCCAGTGAACGTCTGCAGAAGGGAACGATGGATTCAAACAAAAGCACCACCCCGTTTTTCAGCAATCCCTTTGAACACCTCAACTGATATTTGCCAAACGAACACGAAACCACAGAGGAACCATAACAACGTCTCAACACCTTCCAATTGTCCAGTAATAACGGACCATCACGACAAACCACAGCGATGCGATAAATAGACTGATCACGGCAGAAATTCAGAATTCGTAGAAGACTAGTTGAAGACAGCCCACATGAAGCATGAAAAGTCAAAATAGAAATATTCTGAACCGGTTCGCAACGCCTTCCCAACTTTTTTTTAGCTGAAGCCTTTCTCTTTCCCAAAAGACGCCTCCTAGCTTTCCTAGGCTTATCCCTAGAATTCAACGACGAAGAAAACAAACGAATGTAAAACCGCTCGGTTGCCTCCAAATCTTCCTTACAGCACAGGCATACCGGAATGGCTATGTACTTCTCTGCCTCGCATCGACGTAACCAACAATATAGTCTTTCATTCCTCCTTCCTTTCGCAATCACCGAATCATTACAAGCCCTGTACACGTGCTCGTTCCAACGGGTTTCCACATCTCTGCCCGTGCTACCTACGTACACGTGACGATGCCATGGAGAAACTAACACGTAAACCAAGGGTCTTTCAGAACGCCTCCGGCCAACCACCACTTCAAGAAGCAAGAATATAGTTTAGAAGCCCAGGGGGCCAACCCAATCACTGCCACCACCAGGCGAAACAATGCATCTACCACCTTAACCCTTTTTTTTTTTTTTTTTTTTTTTTTTTTTTTTTTAAGTTAAAAAAGTCTGGATTCGAACTTGACTAACTATTTCAACAGTTCAGGGGTGTTCCAACTGAGGGCATACTCACACTACAACTTTTTACGCATTTCGAGACCAAATAGTACTAAATACCTCCTGTACATTATACACCTGCTCATTGATTCAACCGCCGAGCCTTCAATTGCTTTCATGGCTGTTACCCCCCCCCNTTTTTTTTTTCTTTTTTTTTTTTTTAGAACAAACAACTCGAGCAGATGCTAGGGATGCTGGTAAAAGCAGACACCGCTAGCACTGCCGAGGAGGCTCCATCTATTGGTGGGGAGCAACACCTGCTGGAAATTGGGTCCAGCGTCCCTGAATATTGATTTTGTGACTGACCATGCCATTGTATCATATATCTGTTGGAAACTAAGGACCAGCATTCATAATGAAGAAGGATCTCTGGTGGTGCTACCTCTTCACCCCTCTTTGGGGCGCCAGATCTTACTTTGAAACTAGTAGCTGTTTTCCTGCTGGTTATGGATGAAAATGAGATTACGAGAGGAAGAAGAGCGAAAATCTAAACAAGCATCTGCAACGGACCAAAGTTGAGTCGCCCTCGGGAGGGACACTAAGAATCAGCGGCGTCCCTCCGTTCCTCCTTACCAGCATCGTCGTTCCCGTCGTCTGAGATCTCCTGCACGGTAACCTTCTTACCAAATGTCTTCTCGACCCGTTTGGCAATGATCTCCGTAATGACGGCGTAATCATCTCCGGTATAGTCGTATCCTTCACTCCCTCTTTTGAGCAAATCTCCAAAAGGTCGTCCTTCCTCTTGGTACGTAGTTCCTTCCTTGCTTCCCGAATGAAGACATCACGCTCGTCCTCCTCAGTGGCACCATCTCTTGCGATCGTCTTCTTCTTCCCTCATCTCGTCCTTGCTGTCGAACCGCCCACTTCGTCTAACTTCTGTTGGAAAGCGGATCGAGGAGCATTCCTCTCTACTTCCTTCTTTGGCAAATCTTCCTTCAGCTTCGCAATTTCCTGCTTCGCCTCCCGCCTTCTGTTCAACTCCTGAAGCCTCAATTCTTTAAGATCCTTCAGCTTCTCAAGAGTGTGCAGATGTACCAACTGCGCAGGATAAACTGCCGGCCGTTCTACCTGTGCGTTGCGGGGTGTAGATGACGGTGCCATCTTCAGCTGCGATGAAGGTGAAGCAGCAAGTCGGCTCCTCTTGTTGCCCGATCTCCGTGCTTCCTTCTTCCAATTCTCCGCGTCCGTCAAGGCACTTTCGTGCTGCTGCTTCATAATCCGTAATGCCTCCTCCAAAGGTTCAACCCGCTTATTCGCGACAGCCGCTGGCCTCAACTTCATCTCCTCGTGTCCTTGCAATAGTCGAGCCAGGACCGCATCGTCACGAACGATGGGCTGGCTAGTAGAAGCCCCATCGTTCCTTACTACCCTGTCGTGGGAAAGTCGTAAACTCTCGATCTCCTTCTCGAGCTTCTCAATCTTCTGGTCATCAGCTGCCGAACTCTTCCTCTGATTACGGAATGACTCACAAACCGCGTCTAACCTCGCGTTCATTGCATCGCTCATCTCCTTTTGAAAGAGTTCTCTTTCTTTCCGATCCTTTTGTCGCCGTTCTTCTTCTTCCTTCTCCTTTTTCAATCATTCTTCTTCTTGTTGCCGTAGTGCTTCTTTCTCCATAGCTGCGTCGTACCAAGCTCTCATTCGTGCTACAGATTCTTCCAGAGCCGCTACCCGTTGATTGGTGTGGAACCACCCAATACCTTTCGTGTATTGACCATTGGAAGCACCTGTCAAAGGTGCCCCCATGTTGAATGTCGGAGGGACAGGGGGAGGGGGAGGAGGAGGAGGAGGAGGAGCAGAGCAGGTAAAGCGAGAATAGGGGCCTGACCGGGCGCAGCAGCCTGATTAGTGCTAGGGATAGTGGACTTATGAGGACACCAACGAACGAAATGGTTAGGATCTCCGCAATTGTAGCAAGTGCGAACACTGGTAGGAGTGAGATTAGCCATGGCTTGCACGGATGTCGTCAACTGTAAATCGTAACTGTATGAAGCCACTCGTAGCGTAGTCTAATCTCTACGACGGTTACTCCGCGAAATAAAGTGTGAAAACCATCCAATGTCCAAGAGTTGACTTCCTCACACCAGTAGCGTAACACTCGGCAATAGTCAGAAACCCCACCATAGCATTCAAGAAATGGATGTGTGTGTGAGAGAGAGAGAGAGAGAGAGAGAGAGAGAGAGAGAG